AGGGGGGGGGGGCTCATGTTTCCCGCGCAGTTAAAAACAAAAACAAAACAGAAACATGGCAAAAACATTTAGAAAATATGTGCCCCCAAAATTAACATGGAAATATATTAACTGGGCGGCTATGGGTGTTTTTATAAAAATAAAAAAAAAAAAATAGCGCAAAATAGGGAAACTAGAACATTTGTATGTTTTTCCACAGAGTCCCCAAGACTGTCTCCTTTTTCTAAATCTAAAGCATCAATTCGAGAGAAGCTCCAAGCCGTGAGCTCGCCTGGACAAACATAGTTTCTATGAAACTCGGGGCAATAATAACGCCTTTGCCTTTACTTTTCTTCTTTCGAGCCGGGACGAGGCGCAGCACGGCCGGCGCAAACTCTCTGGGGCCGTTTGGGAAACAAGCTTCAACAAAAGCCCCAGCAATAAGAAAAGCAGCAGCAGCAGCGCAAACACGTAGTGGGAATCAGGGGGATGCACTAACACACTAGCAGATCGTCCAGAGCAGCAGCGAGGGAGCGAGGGAAAAAATGCGCGGCGGAGAGTCGGCGAGTGCGGAGGGGGAGCGGGAGAGGAGTGGCAGGGGGAGGCTACGAGAGGCGCTACAAGTCTCCCGAGGGACCAGTAAAATGACCGGTCGGCCCCGCCGGCCGACCTCGCCCTTGGGTTAAAACGGCCGCCGTTTTTCCTCTTGTTCTCGTATCTCTCGTTCTCGTCTCTCTCTCTTTTTTTCCCTCGCCTCTCCTTTTCCCGTTTCCCCGGCTCCGCCGCGCGGGCGCGCAATGCCAGAGCTCTACGCACGTTTTATTTCACGTATAAAATGTAATCACGGTACGGGGCTGGTGGTGTGGGGCGCATCGTGGGTGGATGGAGAGAGGGGGAGGGGATGGCGAGGCGATGACAGAGGGCGGGGAGGGCGTGTGTGAGCGGGCCGTGAGGCTTTGGCGCGCCCGTCTGCGCGCCGACCAAGGTGGTCCACCGAGCGGGGCGCTCGCGAGCACGCGTGCCATGTGTGCCCCGTGTGAGCCCCACCCTCACGGCCGCGACACTATCGAGAGGGGGAGAGCGCCGAGCCGGGAGAGCGAGCACGCGTGCCATGTGTGCCCCGTGTGAGCCCCACCCTCACGGCCGCGACACTATCGAGAGGGGGAGAGCGCCGAGCCGGGAGAGCGAGCGCCCCCGCAGAGCGCCTTCTCAATCCCATCAGCTGCGGCTCGACAATGAGCCCCCGCCGAGTTTGCTCTCCCCGCCCCTCCCGGCTCCCGGCACCAGGTGCTCCGGGCCGGGCAGAGAGTTGTGTAACGGAGGAGGCAAACAGCCCGGAGCCGAGCGGAGCGGGGCCCAGCGGAGCCCGGCGGAGCAAGCAGTCAGCCACCTGGTTTCAGCCGCCCAAGGAGCACCGATACGGCGCAGCGCTCTCTGCTGCGGCGGGATTGGATTGCTGCTTTCGCGGAGCGGAGCAGGAGCGGGGGCGTGTAATATGAAGGACCGCGCAGCGGCAGGACCCGAGAAAAGGTCTCTGCTGCTGCTGCTTCGCCCGGGAAGAAGAAGAAAAACAGTGTATAGCTCGCCTTTTGGTGGTCCTATTGTGCTCTCTGTGCCCGCGGGACCCCATCGTACAGGTCTGCACGCCCCGGGCCAGCCTGCCGTCGCCCGCCCCGCACGCAGGTACATACTATATATATAGAGAGAGAGAGGGAGACGGGGGGGCCGATCGTATCTCTAATCCGTCCATTTCCCCCCATTTTCCCCCCATTTCCCCCGAATCCTCTGGGCTGATCCTGCGCTGCTCCTCGAAGCCCCCCCCCCCCCTGCTCCCGCACCCGCGTCTGGGATCACGCGTTACTCATGATGAGGGAAGACAAGTCGTCCCCCGGGAGTGCGAGAGAGGGGAGAAGACGGGCATCCCACCGACCCCCCGCCACCCCCCTTCGACGCCAGCTTTTAACCCGTCCTCACTATATGGCTCCCCTACCCGCTTTCCGTTTCCGGGCTCAACACTTCCGTGAGCGCTACTCCCCCAGCGGATCTACAATTACATCGGGTTCGAAATAAAAAAAAAAGAGAAAAAAAAGCAAGAGGGAATAAAACAACTTCCGTTTCCCGTTTATTCTATCTGTATATTTGCAATAAGGCGAGTCCAATCGGGAAGGGGGTCGCTGGTGTTGTGCGAATGGCTTCGCGAATTTCATATTTCCTAGATGATCACGCTGTGAGAACACGCGGGGCGCACCTGTGCCCGTCTAATTCCTGTACAAACCCCCTTTTATTTGCAGCTTTCTCCATTTCCCCCCGATGACCCTTTTGCACAACCCTCGCCCCTCCCGTCGGGGCCCCCAGACTAGCTACTCCTCCCCGTTTCCCTCCTCGCCTCTCACCCCCAACCCCCCTCTTTCCGGCCCTGATACTCCATTTGCAATCGCCCTTTGCAATGGCCCCACTGTTTCGCTGCCGCTCCCCTTCCCTCACTTCGTCGAGGGTTCGCGGGCCCCGCTCTGTGGGCGAGAGAAGGGCCGAGACGAGCGGAGAAGAGAGAGAGGGACAACAGAGAACAGGGGAAAGAGAGAGGAAGAGGGAGGTAGGGAGGGAGGGAGAGAGGGAGAGAGGGAGAGAGAGAGAGAGAGAGAGAGAGAGAGAGAGAGAGAGAGAGAGACAAAGGTGCAAAGTCGATTAGAGAGAGCGGGCGCTTCGTGCAGGCAAAAGGAAAGGGGAGAGAGCAGCAGCGGCAACGCGGCGGGGCGAAGTCCGCCCGCGAAACATGCACTTCCCCGCTATCGAGCCGGCAATATGCGCCGGGAAGGGCGGCAG